TTGTTAAAAAATTGCAGTTAGTTCATTTGAAATACATGATTAAGTTGCTAAAAAAAACGCTATGCTAAAATGTGCTATGCTAAGAGAAGCTGCATTTGTAGTATGCCTGGTTAACATTATCATTTATGTGAAACTGAATATTTCTTGTTTTTCTGTATTTTTATGCAGTTTTCACTCCATGTTATGGTGAAAGAGTCTTCACAGTAAAGAAACGAAATACTACGTCGACTCGTCTCTTTGTCATGAATGGAGTTTAGCTTGGTGTTTTGTCCACGGTTCCTACGCCTTGACAAGAACATTATAGTGAAAAGACAAAGAATCAGCACGCAAGATGGCTTCAAAAAGTGGATCCTCTACAGCTAGCTCAGCAGGACGAGCAAGGGCAAAGGCTGAAGCCGCTAAGATACGAGCAGACTATGCGGTAAAACAACTCGAACTACAACTAGAGACTGCAGCAAAGATAAAGAAAAAGCAAAAAAAGAAGCAGAACTAGAGTTTGAAAAAGCTAAACTGCAGGCACAGCTTGAAGTAATGAAAGTGCAATGTGAAGCAGAAGCTAGAGCACGTGAAGCACAAGTTTTAGAAATGGCAGAGGACTTGCAAAGTGTGGATGAAGAAGGTGAAAGAGAACATGCATCAGAACAGGAAGCAAAAATTAAACGCACCAAAGAGTATGTGAAATCACAATCCACTTACAAAAGTATTCCTCCACCATCACAAATATCAGTAGAAAATCAATTGCACGAAGATGGTGTGTTCAAGTCAGTCGATTCCTGCATACGTGAGGCGTTGCCAGATAAAAAGGCAAGGCATTCACATGACACCATGAAAAGATATGAAGACCATTATGATTCATATTTGACAACACAAAATAGAATAAAAGGAGAAAACAAATGTAAATTTGCACATTCAGGGGAGAAAGCAGATCAAACCTATCAACCTTATTCCCAGAGAAAGCTTAACATAAATGCTCCACCCTTTTCTTCAAATACTGGCTGCTTAACACCGGCAATAGACCCACTAGCACAGTACTTAGCCAGACGAGATCTAACAAACTGTGGTTTGTATCAGTTTGATGATAAACCGGAGAATTACCGTGCATGGTATGCATCATTTGCTAGTACAACAAATGACATACAGCTAAGCGCAGTGCAACTACTTGATCTCATGATTAAATGGCTTGGAAAGGAGTCATGTGAATATGTAAAACGAATAAGAGCAGTTTATATTAACAACCCATCTGAAGCACTGAGTAAAGCATGGGATCGGCTTGAAGAGTGTTACGCTGCTCCAGAGATAATAGAAAAGTCTCTTTTTGAGCGTCTGGAGAACTTTCCAAGACTTAATGCCAGAGACAATGTTAAACTACGTGAGCTTGGAGATTTGCTGACAGAAATACTCGGTGCGAAAGAAGACGGTTATCTGGCTGGCCTGTCATTTCTAGACACGTCACGTGGCATATCACCCATCGTAACCAAGTTACCATTTGGACTCCAAGAAAAATGGCTCTCTTCGGGATCCAAATACAAAGAAGAAAATTGTGGACTTTTTCCTCCTTTTCGCTACTTCTGTGAGTTTGTGTGCTATGAGGCAAAGAAAAGGAATGATCCCAGCTTTATGACTCCAACGGCCATATTCATTTCAAAAACAGACCGAACACCACTCAAGAAAACAATGTATGATAAACCTATCATAGTGCAGAAAACGGACATTTCTTCACAACAATACAGCAGAACAACAAACTCAGACCCATCCAAAGTGTGCCCTTTACACAATAAGCCACATTCACTCCAAAGTTGCAAGGCATTTCGAAACAAACGTATAGAAGAAAGAAAAGATTTCCTCAAGAAAAGTGGAATTTGTTTTAAATGTTGCATTTCATCATCACATTTAGCTAAGGAATGTAAGGCATCTATTAAATGTTCTGAATGCGAGTCAATATACACATCTCAGCCATGCATCCAAACACACCATATCCACACCCAAAGGACCCACCAATTCAACAGGCGAATGGCGGGGAGTCTGGAACCACTAAAGTAGACAATTCTGACATCGCAGATACTACAGTGGTAACTTCAAACTGTACTGAGGTATGTGGTAAAGAACAGTTTGGACGCTCATGTGCTAAAATATGCCTTGCAAAGATCTATCCACAAAATGCTGTACACAAAGCGATAAAGACGTATGTGATAATAGATGATCAGAGCAATCGCTCTTTGGCCAGACCAGAGTTTTTCAGTATGTTTGGAATACAAACCGAGCCTTCATGTTACCAGCTAAGAACCTGTTCAGGCATGACAGAAACGTTAGGAAGACGTGCAGATGGATTTGTGATAGAGTCCATTGAAGGGAATATGGCAATTCCGCTTCCGTCACTTATAGAGTGTTGTGACATTCCGAATAACCGCGCAGAGATCCCAACTCCAAATGCTGTTATTCATCAGCCTCATTTGCAACACATTGCTAAGCATCTCCCAGAACTCGATCCAAATGCTAAAATACTGCTTCTTCTCGGCAGAGACATTTTAAGACTACATAAGGTCAGACAACAAGTAAACGGACCTCACAATGCCCCGTTTGCACAACGATTAGATCTTGGCTGGGTGATAGTAGGCGAAGTGTGCCTCGGAGCCAGTCACAAGCCCATTGTAAACAACTTCAAAACAACTATTTTCGAGAGTGGTCGTCCTTCCATCTTTCAACCATGTACAAGCTACATGCAAATAAAGGACTCGCTACCAAAACTCAAGTCTTCTACAAAAGTCACAGAGGAAACACTTGGAAAAACAGTTTTTGACAAAACTGACAAGGACAACAGACTTGCTCCATCAATTGACGATGCAATGTTTATGGACATAATGGACAAGGAAGCGCACCAAAATGCCAAAAACACATGGGTGGCTCCGCTTCCATTCAAAAAGCCACGGCCGTCTCTTCCAAACAATAAAGAGCAGGCTATAAAAAGATTTGTGTCGCTAGAAAAAACATTTAAACGGAATCCCAAAATGCAGGAACAGTACTTTACATTCATGGACAAAATCTTTCAAAACGGACACGCTGAAGTCGCACCACCGCTCGAGGAGAATGAGGAATGCTGGTTTCTCCCCACATTTGGAGTATATCATCCTCGAAAGCAAGACCAGATTCGTGTGGTGTTCGATTCAAGCTCACAGTATCAAGGAATCTGCTTAAACGATGTATTGCTAACTGGACCTGATCTAAACAACACGTTAATTGGTGTTTTATTACGCTTTCGCAAGGAGAAAGTAGCAGTGTTGGCAGACATTCAGCAAATGTTCTACTGTTTTGAAGTAACAGAGCCTCATCAGAACTTCCTCAGGTTTCTGTGGTACGAAGAGAATGACGTCAACAAAAAAGTAATTGATTATCGCATGAAAGTCCATGTATTTGGCAATAGTCCCTCACCTGCCGTTGCGGTATATGGCCTGAGAAGAGCAATCAGGGAAGGAGCTCCAAAGTACGGTGAGGACACTGTGGAGTTTGTCGAGAGGCATTTTTACGTTGATGATGGGCTCATTTCCGTTCCTACTGATCACCAAGCAGCGGACCTTCTCAAAAGAACACAGTTGTCACTCGCAGAGTCAAATATCCGCCTCCACAAATTCATCTCAAACAGCCAAGATGTTCTAAAAGCTTTGTCCCAAGATGATTGTGCGACACCAGTGAAGGACTTGGATCTTAGTGGAGAAACCCAGTCCACTCAGCGGAGTTTGGGCCTTTTATGGGAGATATCAACCGATACGTTTACCTTTTCAGTCTCAACAGATCCAAAGCCTTTCACACGTCGTGGTGTGTTATCAATGGTAAACAGCATATTTGACCCTCTAGGTTTCCTGGCTCCGGTCACAACGCATGGAAGAGCCCTTCTAAGAGAGCTTACAGCTGACGATTCTGATTGGGACACGCCACTTGCAGATGAAAAACATGACAAATGGGACAACTGGCACAAATCTCTTCAAGATATCAAACGGTTGCACATCCAACGAACATATACGAACATGTCACTTGGTAACGCCGAACGCAAAGAGCTTATCGTGTTCTCTGATGCCTCTGTGAAGGCGATTGGAGCTGTTGCTTATCTGAAGACATATCAGAAGAATGGCAACACAGAGATTGGATTTGTTATGGCTAAAGGAAAGTTAGCCCCCAGATCGGAACCCACAATTCCGCGTTTGGAACTCTGTGGAGCTGTCTTGGCTGTGGAATTAGCTGATCTCATCCAAGAAGAGTTGGATGTAAAGTTCGATGAAGTAAGATTCTACACAGACAGTAAAGTTGTACTTGGGTACATCCATAATACCAGTAAAAGGTTCTATGTCTATGTGCACAACAGGATTCAGCGCATATGTCATTCCACAAAACCAGAGCAATGGCAGCATGTTCCTTCTGAAGAAAATCCGGCTGATCATGTTTCACGATTCATTCCAGCCTCTTCCCTGACCCAAACAACGTGGTTCACTGGACCTTCATCCTTGAGAAATACAACAAGAAAGGACAATCACACCATTGAAAGGTTTGAACTCATACAACCAGATGAGGACGTTGAAATCAGACCTGAAGTTAGAACCTACTGCACAGGCATCAGAGAGAACTTTTTTGACCCCAATCGTTTTCAACGTTTCTCAACTCTCCAGTCACTTGTAAGAGCTTTGGCCTGCTTGATCCACATAGTCAAATGTTACAAACAAACAAACAAGGACGGTCAATGTAAAGGATGGCACTGGTGCAAGCAACCACATTCACCAGAAGAACTAGACCAAGCAATGGTGGTTATTCTCAAGGCAGTTCAAGCATCTGCTTTCCAAAAAGAACTCGCAGCATTACGTGTTGAAAAACTCATTCCAAAAGACAGTTGTCTTCAAAAACTCAATCCCATCATCGTTGATGACTTAATCCGTATTGGAGGTCGGCTCAAGCATTCAAACATGTTCACAAATGAAAAACATCCTGTAGTTTTGCCAAAGAACAGTCACATAGCTTTACTGCTGACACGCCACCACCACATCCAGGTGAAACATCAAGGCCGTCACTTGACGGAGGGGGCCATAAGAGCAGCAGGGTACTGGATTGTCAGTGGCAAACGTCTAGTCAACACAGTCATTCACAACTGCATAATATGCAAGAAACTCAGAGGTAAATTTCAAGAACAACACATGTCAGATTTACCTCCGGAACGGTGTCAAGCATGTCCTCCATTCACCTATGTTGGACTCGATGTTTTTGGTCCGTGGATGGTCGTAGCAAGGAGAACCCGTGGTGGACACGCCGAAAGCAAAAGGTGGGCAATCATGTTTAGTTGCTTAACTTCCAGAGCGGTCCACATTGAGCTTATAGAGACTATGGATACATCAAGTTGTGTCAATTCAATCAGGCGTTTCTTTGCTCTTAGAGGACCAGCCAGGAAGTTGATGTCTGACTGTGGTACAAACTTCGTTTCCGCTAGCAAAGAACTTGGAATGGACAAAAACTCAAAAGACCCAAAGATTCAAAGATTTCTCAGTGAAAATGGATGTGTTTGGGAGTTCAACCCTCCTCATGCGTCACATATGGGAGGGAGCTGGGAGAGAATGATAGGTGTTACTCGAAGGATCTTAGACTCCATGTTTCTCCAGCTAAAAGTTGATCTCACCCATGAAGTTTTATCCACTTTGATGGCAGAAGTTACTGCGATCATGAATGCACGGCCACTAGTACCTGTTTCTACGGACCCCGATGTTCCACTAGTCCTTTCTCCAAACATGCTCCTCACACAAAAGTCTGGTGTTCTTCCACCGCTTGGGGACTTTCCAGAGAAGGACATGCACATTAAACACTGGAGACAAGTACAAGCACTGGCAAATTACTTCTGGACACGGTGGCGCAAGGAATATCTGCCATGCTTGCAAATCAGACAAAAATGGAACACTCATCACAAAGACTTACAAGTTGGAGACGTGGTCCTGCTTAAAGACAAGCAAGCTGAACGGAACCACTGGCCAATGGGAAGAATAAGTTCCACTTTTCCCAGCAAAGACGGACACGTTAGGAAAGTGGAGATAACTATAGTTGACCAGGGCACTTTGAAGACGTATCTTAGACCTGTTACTGAAGTCATTTTGCTTCTCCCTGCAGTTTAAGTTGGTTGGTAATGTGAAAAGTAGTAGTGACCCCTTAGAGGTCAGGCGGGGAGTGTGTTGTTTATAATTTGCAGAAGTCAATCTGTTCACTTTTGTTGTTCAAAGTTTGTCGATAAAGTTTAGTGGTGACGTCACTTCCTTGCCCTGTAATGGCACAGAGCTCCGCTAGTTGCAGCTACAGAATCCATGTCCATCTTTTGCTAAAGACTGGTCCATCAATGTCGTAAGTAACTGGGACATGATTAGATACTTATATTTGTGTGATTCAAAGTTTATTTTGTTAAAAAATTGCAGTTAGTTCATTTGAAATACATGATTAAGTTGCTAAAAAAAACGCTATGCTAAAATGTGCTATGCTAAGAGAAGCTGCATTTGTAGTATGCCTGGTTAACATTATCATTTATGTGAAACTGAATATTTCTTGTTTTTCTGTATTTTTATGCAGTTTTCACTCCATGTTATGGTGAAAGAGTCTTCACAGTAAAGAAACGAAATACTACGTCGACTCGTCTCTTTGTCATGAATGGAGTTTAGCTTGGTGTTTTGTCCACGGTTCCTACGCCTTGACAAGAACATTATATTGGCCACTCCTACTTGCCAGCCTGTTTTTCCTTTAACCTGAACTTCAAAATAAAACTTTCCTGATGAGAACTGTTGTTTCCCCAAAACACACAAATAAGTCGTGAATCTCTCAGGGTTGTCTGGGAGATTCGGTCTTTGGTCATCGTAATGAACCAGTTTGAGATCTTTAGACAGAACTAAGTATGGATGTGCAGTGTCTGGATCTAGAGACACCTCAGCTGCAAACTCTTGAACTTTCTCTAACTCTGCTTTAAAGAACGTCTCCATCTCTGTGTTCAGTTTGTTCCTCAGCTCAGACACAGCTTGGGCCCCTGTCCCCTTATATGACGGGGTCCTGACAGTCTTCTGGCTCCAGTCTCTGAGCTGTGGAGCAGGTTTGACTGTAGTGAAGGTTTGGACAAAGGACAGGTGGTCTCCAGAGGTCCACAGCTGCTCCATCTCAGCTCCTCTCTGCTCCAGCTCAGAGATCTCTGTCTGGATCTGCTCTATCAGCTGAGACGCCTCCTCCTCCACCTTCTGATGTTTTTCTACAATGCTCTGTTTGAAGCTGTCTGCACTTTGTTGAACACACTCCATCAAAGCGGTGAAGACTCTGAGACCTTCTTGTATTTCTGCGTCTGCCTTTCTCTGACTCTGCTCCACTGAGCGCTGGATCTTCTGGACTTTCACACGTCTGTCTTTGATCTGTTTCTTCAGTGTGGCCTGCTGCTCCTCTCCCTGCTCCTTCAATAAGACAGTATGATGCTTTGTATCCTCTGTATAACTGCACTGCACGCACATGAAGTGTGAGTGGTCCCTACAGAAGAGCTCCAGGGGCCGCTGGTGCTCAGGGCAGATGTGCTCCTGCAGGTTGGGCAGAGGGTGGATCAGCTGGTGCCTCTTCAGACGGGGGTTTGTGAGGTGTGGCTGCAGGTGGCTCTCACAGTACGACGTCAGACACAGCAGGCAGGACTTCAGGGCTCTGAGCCTGGGCTCTGGACAGACGTCACAGTCCAACTCTCCTGGAGCAGTGGACGGAGCCTCTAACAGCGTGTCTTCATCTTGAGGCTTATTTCTGAGCAGAGAGATCATCTCTAACATAAAAGTATTAACTTTCAGCTGTGGTTTTGGGCTGAAGACCTGTTTACAGACTGGACAGCTGCAGAGGACGCTGTTGTCCCAGTGTTTGTTGATGCAGATGCTGCAGAAGCTGTGTCCACACGTTGTTGTGACTGGATCAGTAAAGACCTCCAGACAGATGGAGCAGAGAAACTGATCCTCACGGAGAGAAGAGCTCACAGCCGCCATCACTGCAACAAGAGAAACAAAAACACATTTGGTTTAGTGTTGGTGAAGACGAGAGGCCTCTGCATCTGTTAAAGCTTCAGCAGAGTTTCATTTGTTTTTACTTATTTACATATTTCCTCCTTCTGGAACATAAACAGATCAGTCTTTGTAGAGAAATGTGTCTTCTGCATTTGACCCATCCGGGCATTACCCGTACTAGTGACTCGGGAACCTGTCAAGAGCAGGACCCATCTCCACATGTTGATGTTCGTGATCAGGACTGCAACTACACAAAGCTGTAGTTTCAGTTTCCATTGTTGCAGCTTCTGTTAAAAGCAGAATGATGTTGGTGCATTCTTTTGCGGCGCCTGAGGAGGATGTGGTTGAACTGGTTAAACTGGTGGGTGACGTGTTGTAAAGTTCCACTGAACGAGACTAGAACTTCATCGTCTTCAGTCGTCGTGGAGACGCTTTGCACTTTGAATCCAAAATGAAAACGTGTCAATATTTTTTAACGCACTCATTTTGTGTCATTCATTAATCTTAATTAAACGCGTTAAAATCCCGATCCCAATATTTATACAAAGTGCAAAGTTATGTACAGAGTAACAAGTGGATAAAGTGACGTTCAGTGGACATTCTGAAGCTGCAGTATTGCACATGATTACAGTATTTACTATCTACAGATGAATGACATGTACAGGCTCTGCAGTTCTCATTGTACAGTCTGACAGCAGCAGGAAGGAAAGACCTGCAGAACCTCTCCTTCACACAGCGAGGCAGAAATTATAGAGAAAAACTCCTTCTGTATTAAATCATTTGACAATTCAAAGTAAATTCCAGGTTAAAAACAGTTCTGTTTAGCAGTGCTACAACTGAGGGATTTTATATTTTTATCTTTCTTTTTAATGTACTGTGATTATTTATGATTTTAATGCCTTCTTGTTTTGTTCAGCACTTTGAGTTTCCTTGTGTATGAACTGTGCTATACAAATAAACTTGCCTTGCATATTGACAATACTACAGTAGGGAACAATGTACATTCTTTTGTCATTTCATCAGATTAGCACAAACTACACATCATTCACCTCATCATCGCTGATTTCTTTCATGTCATCATCAAAATGCACGGTTTTAACTTTAGTCGCCAAAAGAAACACAAACAAGATATTGATATTAAACAAAGGCGTTTCATTTTCAACACTTGTACAAACAAACATTCCAATCTGGTTTCTGTTCCATAAACTTTAACCAAGAAGTAGAGTAGAAAAAGCACCACTAAATGTAGAAGTAACAGATTTAAGAACTCTTTTATCTCTGTTGCCATTGGTCTTTTAAAGCAACCATTGAAATCCTGTTTTGTGTATTTATTGTGTCCTTGTGTGTACTTGTGTGTCTTTCTGCTGCTGGAACCAAACTGGCCTCGGGGATAATAAAGATAATAAAGATACCTTGAACCTTGAATCTACCAAACTGTGGAGCGTGGCTTAGATCTGCATCAACACCAACGACTGTGTGAAAAATCTTACCGTGATTTGACGACACAAATAAGTGTGAGGCAACACTCGCAGTGCTATTGTGTAACTGTGTGGTGTTCACACAACAACACTCTTTATCCAACACGGTCCCTGACATTTTAACACTGGTATATTTGCTGTGTACAATCATGACTTCCTCTTTCCCCGTTACTCAGACAGACTCACCTTTACTCAGAGATGAGAGAAGCAGAAAGGTCTGTAGTTTGATTCCTTTGGTGCCGCACTCTCCTCTGTCTCTGTGTGAGGCTCCTTTCTCCTCAACTTCTGCCGTTATATTGGCTGTAAACCTTTTCCTGGTTCGTGTCCGGGGTTCAAAGGTCCCAAGTCACACCTTCAAACATGTGACTACAGCAGCGTCTGGAGATATGTTTCTGATGTGAAAACCTGCATTTATTTATGTGTTTATTTAGTAGAGTTCATGTTTAAAGTGTTGGATAGAAACCATGTGTCAGCTGTAAAACGAACACTATAAGACATGGATCTTCACCGAGTGTCTCTGGACTGGTCTCAATCAATGCATTTTTAGAACAAAGTCTTTTATTGAGGAAAATGTCCCATAAATGTGGATTCATAGAATTTCTCAGGAATGAACAATATTAACTTTGGATAAACATGACATCAGACTAAACAGGATTCAAACCCACAACCTCCTTCATCACAGGAGAAGGTTAGGTATAAGTAAGTACAAGCTGTTTTATACCAGACACACAAACACACACACGTATACACACAGACACACACGCACACAGAGACACAAACACACACACACACTGTCATACACACTAACACACATACACATTCACACACAGACACACACGCAGAGTCATACACACAAACATATACACTTTTGTGGACGTGATTCAGAATTTGAGCAGAAAAGACACACACACAAACACACGCAAAGTCACACAGTGATACACATATACACAATTATATAAAGACAGACACACTCGTAAAGTCACACACATGAACATATACACACACAGTCATACACACAAATTCTTACACACAGAGACACATTTACACACACAGGCAAAGTCATACACATAAACATGTACACACAGTCATACACACACATTTTTACACACACAAACACACTTATGCACAATCATATACACACACATGCAAACACACACACAGACACGAACACATACACAGGGATACACAATCATACACAGAGACACACAATCACTTTCGCATACAGACACACACAAAGTCATACACAAAAACGCACACACACTAAATGTTGTCAATATTTGTGTTCAGGAACTATGGCACTTTCCAAAGCACTAAAATCAAAGCTGAAATATTGTAGTTTGAGGCAATAGTCGACAACAACAGGTTTAAGTCTCAATAATAAACTTTAGAACTAACTTCCAACAGACGTCAGGACCAGAGGAGCAGAGTTTGTACCTTCTTCATTGTTGCATGGATTAAACATCGGCAGAATGTTGTCAGTGAAGCCACAGTCAGTGAAAGACCAAAGAAGAGACTTTTTATCCACGTCATAGAAGGAGACCAGACCTTCATCATAATCCACAAACACTCCCAACTTCTCTGGACATGACTGAACAGAGAGAACTACAGGAGGATCGTCTGATGTTATTTAACGACCACCGACCAACCAGAGTGTCCAGTATCCTTTCTGTACAGTTTGAGAGTCTTGATCTTTTCGATCCACTGACTCTTTGGCCACTCCTACTTCCCAGTCTGTCTTTCCTTTGACCTGAACCTCAAAATAAAACTTTCCTGATGAGAACTTCTGTTTCCCTAAAACATACAAATGAAACGTGAATCTCTCAGGATTGTCTGGGAGATTCTGTCTTTGGTGACCATCATGAACCTGTTTGAGATCTTTAGACAGACCTAAGTTTGGATGTGCATTGTCTGGATCTAGAGACACCTCAGCTGCAAACTCTTGAACTTTCTCTAACTCTGCTTTAAAGAACGTCTCCATCTCTGTGTTCAGTTTGTTCCTCAGCTCAGACACAGCTTGGGCCCCTGTCCCCTTGTACGACGGGGTCCTGACAGTCTTCTGGCTCCAGTCTCTGAGCTGTGGAGCAGGTTTGACTGTAGTGAAGGTTTGGACAAAGGACAGGTGGTCTCCAGAGGTCCACAGCTGCTCCATCTCAGCTCCTCTCTGCTCCAGCTCAGAGATCTCTGTCTGGATCTGCTCTATCAGCTGAGACGCCTCCTCCTCCACCTTCTGATGCTTTTCTACAATGCTCTGTTTGAAGCTGTCTGCACTTTGTTGAACACACTCCATCAAAGCGGTGAAGACTCTGAGACCTTCTTGTATTTCTGCGTCTGACTTTCTCTGACTCTGCTCCACTGAGCGCTGGATCTCCTGGACTTTCACACGTCTGTCTTTGATCTGTTTCTTCAGTGTGGCCTGCTGCTCCTCTCCCTGCTTTTTCAATAAGACAGTATGATGCTTTGTATCCTCTGTATAACTGCACTGCACGCACATGAAGTGTGAGTGGTCCCTACAGAAGAGCTCCAGGGGCCGCTGGTGCTTAGGGCAGATGTGCTCCTCCAGGTTGGGCAAAGGGTGGATCAGCTGGTGCCTCTTCAGACGGGGGTTTGTGAGGTGTGGCAGCAGGTGGCTCTCACAGTACGACATCAGACACAGCAGGCAGGACTTCAGGGCTCTGAGCCTGGGCTCTGGACAGACGTCACAGTCCACCTCTCCTGGAGCAGTGGACAGGTCACAGACCTCTCCTGGAGCAGTGGACAGGTCACAGACCTCTCCTGGAGCAGTGTACAGGTCACAGACCTCTCCTGGAGCAGTGGACAGGTCACAGACCTCTCCTGGAGCAGTGGACAGGTCACAGACCTCTCCTGGAGCAGTGGATTGAGCCTCTAACAGCGTGTCTTCATCTTGAGGCTTATTTCTGAGCAGAGAGATCATCTCTAACATAAAAGTATTAACTTTCAGCTGTGGTCTTGGGCTGAAGTCCTGTTTGCAGACTGGACAGCTGCAGAGGACGCTGGTGTCCCAGTGTTTGTTGATGCAGATGCTGCAGAAGCTGTGTCCACACGGTGTTGTGACTGGATCAGTAAAGACCTCCAGACAGATGGAGCAGAGAAACTGCTCCTCACAGAGAGAAGAGCTCACAGCCGCCATCACTGCAAAAAGAGAAACAAAAACAAATTTGGTTTAGGGTTGGTGAAGTCGAGAGGCCTCTGCATCTGTTAAAGCTTCAGCAGAGTCTCATTTGTTTTAACTTATTTACATATTTCCTCCTTCTGGAACATAAACTGATCAGTCTTTGTAGAGAAATGTGTCCTCTGCATTTGACCCATCCGGGCATTACTCGGCCCTAGTGACTCGGGAACCTGTCAAGAGCAGGACCCATCTCCACATGTTGATGTTCGTGATCAGGACTGCAACTACACAAAGCTGTAGTTTCAGTTTCCATTGTTGCAGCTTCTGTTAAAAGCAGAATGATGTTGGTGCATTCTTTTGCGGCGCCTGAGGAGGATGTGGTTGAACTGGTTAAACTGGTGGGTGTCGTGTTGTAAAGTTCCACTGAACGAGACTAGAACTACATCGTCTTCAGTCGCTGTGTAGACGCTTTGCACTTTGAATCCAAAATGAAAACGTGTCAATATTTTTTAACGCACTCATTTTGTGTCATTCATTAATCTTAATTAAACGCGTTAAAATCCCGATCCCAATATTTATACAAAGTGCAAAGTTATGTACAGAGTAACAAGTGGATAAAGTGACGTTCAGTGGACATTCTGAAGCTGCAGTATTGCACATGATTACAGTATTTACTATCTACAGATGAATGACATGTACAGGCTCTGCAGTTCTCATTGTACAGTCTGACAGCAGCAGGAAGGAAAGACCTGCAGAACCTCTCCTTCACACAGCGAGGCAGAAATTATAGAGAAAAACTGCTTCTGTATTAAATCATTTGACAATTCAAAGTAAATTCCAGGTTAAAAACAGTTCTGTTTAGCAGTGCTACAACTGAGGGAGTTTATATTTTTATCTTTCTTTTTAATGTACTGTGATTATTTATGATTTTAATGTGATCTTGTTTTGTTCAGCCCTTTGAGTTTCCTTGTGTATGAACTGTGCTATACAAATAAACTTGCCTTGCATATTGACAATACTAGAGTAGGGAACAATGTACATTCTTTTGTCATTTCCAGGTCTTTATTTCATCAGATTAGCACAAACTACACATCATTCACCTCATCATCGCTGATTTCTTTCATGTCATCATCAAAATGCACGGTTTTAACTTTAGTCGCAAAAAGAAACACAAACAAGATATTGATATTAAACAAAGGCGTTTCATTTTCAACACTTGTACAAACAAACATTCCAATCTGGTTTCTGTTCCATAAACTTTAACCAAAAAGTAGAGTAGAAAAAGCACCACTAAATGTAGAAGTAACAGATTTAAGAACTCTTTTATCTCTGTTGCCATTGGTCTTTTAAAGCAACCATTGAAATCCTGTTTTGTGTATTTATTGTGTCCTTGTGTGTACTTGTGTGTCTTTCTGCTGCTGGAACCAAACTGGCCTCGGGGATAATAAAGATGATAAAGATACCTTGAACCTTGAATCTACCAAACTGTGGAGCGTGGCTTAGATCTGCATCAACACCAACGACTGTGTGAAAAATCTTACCGTGATTTGACGACACAAATAAGTGTGAGGCAACACTCGCAGTGCTATTGTGTAACTGTGTGGTGTTCACACAACAACACTCTTTATCCAACACGGTCCCTGACATTTTAACACTGGTATATTTGCTGTGTACAATCATGACTTCCTCTTTCCCCGTTACTCAGACAGACTCACCTTTACTCAGAGATGAGAGAAGCAGAAAGGTCTGTAGTTTGATTCCTTTGGTGCCGCACTCTCCTCTGTCTCTGTGTGAGGCTCCTTTCTCCTCAACTTCTGCCGTTATATTGGCTGTAAACCTTTTCCTGGTTCGTGTCCGGACAGAGGGCGGGACCTTCAAACATGTGACTACAGCAGCGTCTGGAGATATGTTTCTGATGTGAAAACCTGCATTTATTTATGTGTTTATTTAGTAGAGTTCATGTTTAAAGTGTTGGACAGAAACCATGTGTCAGCTGTAAAACGAACACTATAAGACATGGATCTTCACCGAGTGTCTCTGGACTGGTCTCAATCAATGCACTTTTAGAACAAAGTCTTTTATTGAGGAAAATGTCCCATAAATGTGGATTCATAGAATTTCTCAGGAATGAACAATATTAACTTTGTATAAACATGACATCAGACTAAACAGGATTCAAACCCACAACCTCCTGCACCACAGGAGAAGGTTAGGTATAAGTAAGTACAAGCTGTTTTATATCAGACACACACACACACACATTCATACAATCATATAACGCACACAATCAAATACAGACACACGCACAATGTCATACACACAGAGACACACGCAGAGTCATACACACAAACATATACACTTTTGTGGACGTGATTCAGAATTTGAGCAGAAAAGACACACACACAAACACACGCAAAGTCACACAGTGATACACAAATACACAATTATAAAAAGACAGACACACTCGCAAAGTCATACACATGAACATATACACAGTGTCATACACAGTGATACACACAAATAATTACACACACAAAAACATATATACACAATCATATACACACAGACACAAATGCAAAGTCATACACACAAACATATACACACACAGTCATACACACAAATTCTTACACACAGAGACACATTTACACACACAGGCAAAGTCATACACACAAACATGTTCACACAGTCATACACACAGTGATACACACACATTTTTTACACACACAAACACACTTATGCACAATCATATACACACACATGCAAACACACACAAAGACACGAACACATACTGTAGACACAGGGATACACACTCATACACAGAGACACACAATCACTTTCACATACAGACAAACACACAAAGTCATATACAAAAACACACACACACTAAATGTGTCAATATCTGTGTTCAGGAACTATGGCACTTTCCAAAGCACTAAAATCAAAGCTGAAATATTGTAGTTTGAGGCAATAGTCGACAACAACAGGTTTAAGTCTCAATAATAAACTTTAGAACTAACTTCCAACAGACGTCAGGACCAGAGGAGCAGAGTTTGTACCTTCTTCATTGTTGCATGGATTAAGCATCGGCAGAATGTTGTCAGTGAAGTCACAGTCAGTGAAAGACCAAAGAAGAGACTTTTTATCCACGTCATAGAAGGAGACCAGACCTTCATCATAATCCACAAACACTCCCAACTTCTCTGGACACGACTGAACAGAGAGAAATACAGGAGGCTCGTCTGATGTTTTGTAACGACCACCGACCAACCAGAGTGTCCAGTATCCATTCTGTACAGTTGGAGAGTATTTACCTTTTCTGACCACTGACTCTTTGGCCACTCCTACATTCCATCCTCTCTTTCCTTTGACCTGCACCTCAAAATAAAACTTTCCTGATGAGAACTTCATTTTCCCTAAAACACAGAAAAAATATGTGAATCTCTCAGGGTTGTCTGGGAGATTCTGTCTTTGGTCACCGTGATGAACCTGTTTGAGATCTTTAGACAGAACTAAGTATGGATGTGCAGTGTCTGGATCTAGAGACACCTCAGCTGCAAACTCTTGAACTTTCTCTAACTCTGCTTTAAAGAACGTCTCCATCTCTGTGTTCAGTTTGTTCCTCAGCTCAGACACAGCTTGGGCCCCTGTCCCCTTGTACGACGGGGTCCTGACAGTCTTCTGGCTCCAGTCTCTGAGCTGTGGAGCAGGTTTGACTGTAGTGAAGATTTGGACAAAGGACAGGTGGTCTCCAGAGGTCCACAGCTGCTCCATCTCAGCTCCTCTCTGCTCCAGCTCAGAGATCTCTCCCAGGATCTGCTCTATCAGCTGAGACGCCTCCTCCTCCACCTTCTGATGTTTTTCTACAATGCTCTGTTTGAAGCTGTCTGCACTTTGTTGAACACACTCCATCAAAGCGGTGAAGACTCTGAGACCTTCTTGTATTTCTGCGTCTGACTTTCTCTGACTCTGCTCCACTGAGCGGTGGATCTCCTGGACTTTCACACGTCTGTCTTTGATCTGTTTCTTCAGTGTGGCCTGCTGCTCCTCTCCCTGCTCCTTCAATAAGACAGTATGATGCTTTGTGTATGTGTCTTCATCCTGAGGCTTATTTCTGAATAAAGAGATCATCTCTAAAATAATAATATTAATTTTCAGCTGTGGTCTTGGGCTGAAGACCTGTTTACAAAGTGGACAGCTGCAGTGGACACTGGTGTCCCAGTGTTTGTTGATGCAGATGCTGCAGAAGCTGTGTCCACACGATGTTGTGACTGGATCAGTGAAGACCTCCAGACAGATGGAGCAGATAAACTGCTCCTCACGGAGAGAAGAGCTCACAGCCGCCATCACTGCAACAAGAGACAAAAGAAAACACATTTGGTTTATTTTTTTTTAAACTTATTTACATATTTCCTCCTTCTGGAGCATAAACTGATCAGTCTTTGTAGAGAAATGTGTCCTCTGCATTTGACCCATCCTGGCATTACTCGGCCCTAGTGACTCGGGAACCTGTCAAGAGCAGGACCCATCTCCACATGTTGATGTTCGTGATCAGGACTGCAACTACACAAAGCTGTAGTTTCAGTTTCCATTGTTTCAGCTTCTGTTAAAAGCAGAATGATGTTGGTGCATTCTTTTGCGGCGCCTGAGGAGGATGTGGTTGAACTGGTTAAACTGGTGGGTGTCGTGTTGTAAAGTTCCACTGAACGAGACTAGAACTACATCGTCTTCAGTCGCTGTGTAGACGCTTTGCACTTTGAATCCAAAATGAAAACGTGTCAATATTTTTTAACGCACTCATTTTGTGTCATTCATTAATCTTAATTAAACGCGTTAAAATCCCGATCCCAATATTTATACAAAGTGCAAAGTTATGTACAGAGTAACAAGTGGATAAAGTGACGTTCAGTGGACATTCTGAAGCTGCAGTATTGCACATGATTACAGTATTTACTATCTACAGATGAATGACATGTACAGGCTCTGCAGTTCTCATTGTACAGTCTGACAGCAGCAGGAAGGAAAGACCTGCAGAACCTCTCCTTCACACAGCGAGGCAGAAATTATAGAGAAAAACTCCTTCTGTATTAAATCATTTGACAATTCAAAGTAAATTCCAGGTTAAAAACAGTTCTGTTTAGCAGTGCTACAACTGAGGGATTTTATATTTTTATCTTTCTTTAATGTGCTGTGATTATTTATGATTTTAATGCTTTATTGTTTTGTTCAGCACTTTGAGTTTCCTTGTGTATGAACTGTGCTATACAAATAAACTTGCCTTGCATATTGACAATACTACAGTAGGGAACAATGTACATTCTTTTGTCATTTCATCAGATTAGCACAAACTACACATTCACCTCATCATCGCTGATTTCTTTCATGTCATCATCAAAATGCACGGTTTTAACTTTAAAGAAACACAAACAAGATATTGATATTAAACAAAGGTGTTTCATTTTCAACACTCTACTAACCAAAAAGTAGAGTAGAAAAAGCACCACTAAATGTAGAAGTAACAGATTTAAGAACTCTTTTATCTCTGTTGCCATTGGTCTTTTAAAGCAACCATTGAAATCCTGTTTTGTGTATTTATTGTGTCCTTGTGTGTACTTGTGTGTCTTTCTGCTGCTGGAACCAAACTGCCCTCGGGGATAATAAAGATGATAAAGATACCTTGAACCTTGAATCTACCAAACTGTGGAGCGTGGCTTAGATCTGCATCAACACCAACGACTGTGTGAAAAATCTTACCGTGATTTGACGACACAAATAAGTGTGAGGCAACACTCGCAGTGCTATTGTGTAACTGTGTGGTGTTCACACAACAACACTCTTTATCCAACACGGTCCCTGACATTTTAACACTGGTATATTTGCTGTGTACAATCATGACTTCCTCTTTCCCCGTTACTCAGACAGACTCACCTTTACTCAGAGATGAGAGAAGCAGAAAGGTCTGTAGTTTGATTCCTTTGGTGCCGCACTCTCCTCTGTCTCTGTGTGAGGCTCCTTTCTCCTCAACTTCTGCCGTTATATTGGCTGTAAACCTTTTCCTGGTTCGTGTCCGGACAGAGGGCGGGACCTTCAAACATGTGACTACAGCAGCGTCTGGAGATATGTTTCTGATGTGAAAACCTGCATTTATTTATGTGTTTATTTAGTAGAGTTCATGTTTAAAGTGTTGGACAGAAACCATGTGTCAGCTGTAAAACGAACACTATAAGACATGGATCTTCACCGAGTGTCTCTGGACTGGTCTCAATCAATGCACTTTTAGAACAAAGTCTTTTATTGAGGAAAATGTCCCATAAATGTGGATTCATAGAATTTCTCAGGAATGAACAATATTAACTTTGTATAAACATGACATCAGACTAAACAGGATTCAAACCCACAACCTCCTGCACCACAGGAGAAGGTTAGGTATAAGTAAGTACAAGCTGTTTTATATCAGACACACACACACACACATTCATACAATCATATAACGCACACAATCAAATACAGACACACGCACAATGTCATACACACAGAGACACACGCAGAGTCATACACACAAACATATACACTTTTGTGGACGTGATTCAGAATTTGAGCAGAAAAGACACACACACAAACACACGCAAAGTCACACAGTGATACACAAATACACAATTATAAAAAGACAGACACACTCGCAAAGTCATACACATGAACATATACACAGTGTCATACACAGTGATACACACAAATAATTACACACACAAAAACATATATACACAATCATATACACACAGACACAAATGCAAAGTCATACACACAAACATATACACACACAGTCATACACACAAATTCTTACACACAGAGACACATTTACACACACAGGCAAAGTCATACACACAAACATGTTCACACAGTCATACACACAGTGATACACACACATTTTTACACACACAAACACACTTATGCACAATCATATACACACACATGCAAACACACACAAAGACACGAACACATACTGTAGACACAGGGATACACACTCATACACAGAGACACACAATCACTTTCACATACAGACAAACACACAAAGTCATATACAAAAACACACACACACTAAATGTGTCAATATCTGTGTTCAGGAACTATGGCACTTTCCAAAGCACTAAAATCAAAGCTGAAATATTGTAGTTTGAGGCAATAGTCGACAACAACAGGTTTAAGTCTCAATAATAAACTTTAGAACTAACTTCCAACAGACGTCAGGACCAGAGGAGCAGAGTTTGTACCTTCTTCATTGTTGCATGGATTAAGCATCGGCAGAATGTTGTCAGTGAAGTCACAGTCAGTGAAAGACCAAAGAAGAGACTTTTTATCCACGTCATAGAAGGAGACCAGACCTTCATCATAATCCACAAACACTCCCAACTTCTCTGGACACGACTGAACAGAGAGAAATACAGGAGGCTCGTCTGATGTTTTGTAACGACCACCGACCAACCAGAGTGTCCAGTATCCATTCTGTACAGTTGGAGAGTATTTACCTTTTCTGACCACTGACTCTTTGGCCACTCCTACATTCCATCCTCTCTTTCCTTTGACCTGCACCTCAAAATAAAACTTTCCTGATGAGAACTTCATTTTCCCTAAAACACAGAAAAAATATGTGAATCTCTCAGGGTTGTCTGGGAGATTCTGTCTTTGGTCACCGTGATGAACCTGTTTGAGATCTTTAGACAGAACTAAGTATGGATGTGCAGTGTCTGGATCTAGAGACACCTCAGCTGCAAACTCTTGAACTTTCTCTAACTCTGCTTTAAAGAACGTCTCCATCTCTGTGTTCAGTTTGTTCCTCAGCTCAGACACAGCTTGGGCCCCTGTCCCCTTGTACGACGGGGTCCTGACAGTCTTCTGGCTCCAGTCTCTGAGCTGTGGAGCAGGTTTGACTGTAGTGAAGATTTGGACAAAGGACAGGTGGTCTCCAGAGGTCCACAGCTGCTCCATCTCAGCTCCTCTCTGCTCCAGCTCAGAGATCTCTCCCAGGATCTGCTCTATCAGCTGAGACGCCTCCTCCTCCACCTTCTGATGTTTTTCTACAATGCTCTGTTTGAAGCTGTCTGCACTTTGTTGAACACACTCCATCAAAGCGGTGAAGACTCTGAGACCTTCTTGTATTTCTGCGTCTGACTTTCTCTGACTCTGCTCCACTGAGCGGTGGATCTCCTGGACTTTCACACGTCTGTCTTTGATCTGTTTCTTCAGTGTGGCCTGCTGCTCCTCTCCCTGCTCCTTCAATAAGACAGTATGATGCTTTGTGTATGTGTCTTCATCCTGAGGCTTATTTCTGAATAAAGAGATCATCTCTAAAATAATAATATTAATTTTCAGCTGTGGTCTTGGGCTGAAGACCTGTTTACAAAGTGGACAGCTGCAGTGGACACTGGTGTCCCAGTGTTTGTTGATGCAGATGCTGCAGAAGCTGTGTCCACACGATGTTGTGACTGGATCAGTGAAGACCTCCAGACAGATGGAGCAGATAAACTGCTCCTCACGGAGAGAAGAGCTCACAGCCGCCATCACTGCAACAAGAGACAAAAGAAAACACATTTGGTTTAGTGTTGGTGAAGACGAGAGGCCTCTGCATCTGTTAAAGCTTCAACAGAGTCTAATTTTTTTTTAAACTTATTTACATATTTCCTCCTTCTGGAGCATAAACTGATCAGTCTTTGTAGAGAAATGTGTCCTCTGCATTTGACCCATCCTGGCATTACTCGGCCCTAGTGACTCGGGAACCTGTCAAGAGCAGGACCCATCTCCACATGTTGATGTTCGTGATCAGGACTGCAACTACACAAAGCTGTAGTTTCAGTTTCCATTGTTTCAGCTTCTGTTAAAAGCAGAATGATGTTGGTGCATTCTTTTGCGGCGCCTGAGGAGGATGTGGTTGAACTGGTTAAACTGGTGGGTGTCGTGTTGTAAAGTTCCACTGAACGAGACTAGAACTACATCGTCTTCAGTCGCTGTGTAGACGCTTTGCACTTTGAATCCAAAATGAAAACGTGTCAATATTTTTTAACGCACTCATTTTGTGTCATTCATTAATCTTAATTAAACGCGTTAAAATCCCGATCCCAATATTTATACAAAGTGCAAAGTTATGTACAGAGTAACAAGTGGATAAAGTGACGTTCAGTGGACATTCTGAAGCTGCAGTATTGCACATGATTACAGTATTTACTATCTACAGATGAATGACATGTACAGGCTCTGCAGTTCTCATTGTACAGTCTGACAGCAGCAGGAAGGAAAGACCTGCAGAACCTCTCCTTCACACAGCGAGGCAGAAATTATAGAGAAAAACTCCTTCTGTATTAAATCATTTGACAATTCAAAGTAAATTCCAGGTTAAAAACAGTTCTGTTTAGCAGTGCTACAACTGAGGGATTTTATATTTTTATCTTTCTTTAATGTGCTGTGATTATTTATGATTTTAATGCTTTATTGTTTTGTTCAGCACTTTGAGTTTCCTTGTGTATGAACTGTGCTATACAAATAAACTTGCCTTGCATATTGACAATACTACAGTAGGGAACAATGTACATTCTTTTGTCATTTCATCAGATTAGCACAAACTACACATTCACCTCATCATCGCTGATTTCTTTCATGTCATCATCAAAATGCACGGTTTTAACTTTAAAGAAACACAAACAAGATATTGATATTAAACAAAGGTGTTTCATTTTCAACACTCTACTAACCAAAAAGTAGAGTAGAAAAAGCACCACTAAATGTAGAAGTAACAGATTTAAGAACTCTTTTATCTCTGTTGCCATTGGTCTTTTAAAGCAACCATTGAAATCCTGTTTTGTGTATTTATTGTGTCCTTGTGTGTACTTGTGTGTCTTTCTGCTGCTGGAACCAAACTGCCCTCGGGGATAATAAAGATGATAAAGATACCTTGAACCTTGAATCTACCAAACTGTGGAGCGTGGCTTAGATCTGCATGAACACCAACGACTGTGTGAAAAATCTTACCGTGATTTGACGACACAAATAAGTGTGAGGCAACACTCGCAGTGCTATTGTGTAACTGTGTGGTGTTCACACAACAACACTCTTTATCCAACACGGTCCCTGACATTTTAACACTGGTATATTTGCTGTGTACAATCATGACTTCCTCTTTCCTCGTTACTCAGACAGACTCACCTTTACTCAGAGATGAGAGAAGCAGAAAGGTCTGTAGTTTGATTCCTTTGGTGCCGCACTCTCCTCTGTCTCTGTGTGAGGCTCCTTTCTCCTCAACTTCTGCTCTTTTGTTTTTTCTCTAAACATTTCCTGGTTGGTGTCCGGACAGAGGGCGGGACCTTCAAACATGTGACTACAGCAGCGTCTGGAGATATGTTTCTGATGTGAAAACCTGCATTTATTTATGTGTTTATTTAGTAGAGTTCATGTTTAAAGTGTTGGACAGAAACCATGTGTCAGCTGTAAAACGAACACTATAAGACATGGATCTTCACCGAGTGTCTCTGGACTGGTCTCAATCAATGCACTTTTAGAACAAAGTCTTTTATTGAGGAAAATGTCCCATAAATGTGGATTCATAGAATTTCTCAGGAATGAATAATATTAACTTTGGATAAACATGAAATCAGACTCTGGTCATCCAGGGGCCACCACCGGTTATTATTGGGGTACAATTTCACTTCCTTCCTTGGAACAACCATGTCGTCACAAAAATAAATATAACTGCAAACAACGTCTGTAAGTTCATCAATGTCCAGAGAGGAATCCTGAAACACAGACCAGTCTGTGCACTCAAAGCAACCTTGAAGTGCTAAGGAGCTGTCCTCAGTCCAGACTTTCACCTGTTCTTCGTAGAACTGAGGTGTATGCAGGCCAAATATGGACCGTGTTATGGTCAGATGCGCCAGGGGAAGGCCTGCTTTGGACCAATACGCGTCCTTAATAGAACCATAAAACAGCCAAGAGTTTTATTCCTGCGTGTTGGACAAGATACATACTGGTAAAAACTGTTCAGAGTTTCTTCAACTGATTAAAATCTCAGAGAATGAAATTTGGGTGAGCGGGCGAAATAGTCTGAAGGTTATTCACAGTTTTTAAGACAACGTCACTAGCTGTTTTTGTGTCAGCTTTGGGATGAACGTACACCACAGTTACAAATATCTGCGGGAACTCCCTGGACACAAACAACAATTCAATATCAGGGAGACACAAAAACTCCCGTACTGTAATGTTGTTACACCATTTGCGGTTTATGTAAAGGCAGACCCCTCCTCCCGCTGTTTTGTGTGTCACCTCACTGTCCCGGTCTGTGCGTAAAGGCGCACCAGGACCGCTGATCTCCAATGCAGGGTTTGGATCCGTCTCCTTGAGCCAAGTTTCCGTAAATGCCATGAGTCATGCATTTCTGTAATCACGCAGGTGCAAAACATTTCCTTGTAGCTCGTCAATCTTGTTCCGAAGAGATCTCACGTTGGCCATGACAGTTGAAGGCAGGGGAATGCGGTTCTTGCTCTGCAGCTTCCTTGTTCGCCGCTTTAGGCAAGGCAAGGCAAGGCAAGGCAAGGCAAGTTTATTTATATAGCACAATTCATACACAAGGCAATTCAAAGTGCTGAACAAAACAAGAAAGCATTAAAATCCTAAATAATCACAGAACATTAAAAAGAAAGATACAAATATAAAATCCCTCAGTTGTATGCACAGCTAAACAGAACTGTCTTTAACCTGGTTTTAAACATTGTCAGAGAGGAGGCCTGTCTCACATCTTCAGGAGGACTGTATCAGATTTTAGCAGCATGAATCTGAAAAGCAGCCTCCCCATGTTTAGTTCTGACTCTGGGCATTAACAGGAGTCCAGTCCCTGTGCTCCTCAGAGTCCGGGCTGGTTCGTATGGTACTAACATGTCACTAATATATTTTGGTGCGAGGCCATGGAGAGACTTGTACACAAGCAGAGCTGTTTTAAAGTCTATTCTCTGAGCCACAGGAAGCCAGTGCAGAGACCTGAGGACTGGACTAATGTGGTCGTACTTCCTGGTTCTAGTCAGGACTCGAGCTGCTGCATTTTGAATGTACTGCAGCTGTTTTACAGCCTGTTTGGAGAGACCTGTGAGCAGGCCATTGCAGTAGTCTAACCTACTGGAGACAAATGCATGGATAAGAATCTCCAGGTCTGCTTTAGACACTATGTTTTTGATCCTGGCAATGTTTTTTAGATGGTAAAAAGCTGCTGATGTTACTGATTTGATGTGGCTATTAAAATTTAAGTCTGAGTCCAGTATTACCCCTAGATTTCTGACCTTGTTTGAAGGTTTTAGGGAGAGAGACTGTAGGTGACAGATGACGCTCTCTCTTTGTTTCTGGGGACCAAAGACAATCATTTCAGTTTTGTCTGCGTTTAGCTGAAGGAAGTTGTTTTGCATCCACCCACTGATCTGTTGGATACAGTGAAGGAGTGAGTCCACTGGTCCATGTTCTCCTGCAGTCAGTGAGACATAGATCTGAGTGTCGTCTGCATAGTTATGATAGGAAACTTTGTTTCTGCGTATTAACTGACCTAACGGCAGCATGTAGAGATTGAACAGAAGAGGTCCCAGGATCGACCCCTGTGGTACTCCACAGGTCAGGGCCATATGATCTGAGACACAGTTTCTAATCTCCACAAAGTACTTCCTGTCCTCAAGGTAAGACCTAAACCAACTTAGGTCGGTGCCAGCGACTCCAACCCAGTCCTCTAGTCTCTGTAAGTGGATCTCATGTTCGACAGTGTCAAAGGCAGCACTTAGATCTAACAAGATTAAGATTGAAACTTTGCCTGCGTCAGTGTTCAGCCGGATATCGTTTGTAACCTTAACAAGAGCAGTCTCAGTGCTGTGGTGGGGTCTAAAGCCGGACTGAAACATATCAAATGAGTTGTCGATTATAAGAAATCTAGTAAGCTGTAGGTAGACAACTTTCTCAAGGACTTTCCCCATAAATGGCAGATTTGAGATGGGACGATAGTTGTTAAGTACCGTAGCATCCAGACTGCTCTTTTTTAGCAGGGGCCTGATGACTGCAGTTTTCAGGGCCTTTGGGAATATTCCAGAATGAAGGGACATGTTTACTATCTGTGTGAGTGAAGGTAACAGACTGCTCAGAACAGACTTCAGAAATCTAGTGGGTAGTACATCCAAGCTGCATGTGGAGGAGCTTAAACTGGAGATTATCTCTTGGACAGTTTGATCATTTACAGGTGCAAAGTGAGTTAGCTCAGAGAGCCTTTCTGGCTGTTGGATGGTTATCTGTGGATTGGAGACAATGGCGTTTTTGATGCCTTGAACCTTGTCATTGAAAAAATTAGCAAACTCATTGCATTTACGTTTGGAAGTAAGCTCTAATGGCATTTGAACAGGGGGGTTTGTTAATCTATTAACTGTTGAGAACAGAACACGCAGATTGTTGCTGCAGCCTTCAATCATTTCAGAAAAATACCTTTCTCTCGTACTACGTAGCACCCGGTTAAACTCGCACAACTTATCTTTGAAGATCTCGTAATCAACCTGGAGGTTGGACTTGCGCCACTTCCGCTCGGCCCTCCGGCACTTTCTCTTTTGTGCCCTCACCGAGTCTGCTTTAGCCCACGGCGCCTTCTGCTTATTTTTCACTATTCTAACCTTCACAGGGGCAACGGTATCCAGAACATTCAAAACACTAGAGGTGACAGAGTTAAACAGTTCATCTACAGTAGAATACGATGCATTCTCAAAGTTTATCATTCCCATAAATAGTTCACTCGTATTTTCATTTATGTGTCTTCTTCGTACAGTTGCAGAGTCCACTGGTGGTTTGTTAGTGAAACACATGTCAAAAAAAACACAAAAATGATCCGAAAGAGCAACATCGACCACGTTTACATTTGAAATATTCACCCCCTTAGTAACTAACAGATCTAGAGTGTGCCCTCTGCTGTGGGTGGGGCCACTTACGTGCTGAGTGAGATCAAAGGATTCAAGTACAGAACTCAGCTCTTTAGCATTTCTGTCATCAACATTATCCACATGAATATTAAAATCACCTGTAATACCCAAACTATCAAAATCTGTGCATACAACTGAAAGCAACTCGGTAAAATTATCAATAAAACTGTGATATGACTGCGGTGGCTTGTATAGGACAATGAAGAGTATTGGAGGAGATTGTTTTTGTTGTATTTTAAAAGACACATATTCAAATGATGAAAACTTCCCAAGAGACATTCTATGGGAGACAAAGTGGTCTCTAAAAATGGCAGCTAAGCCTCCTCCTTTTTTGTTTTCCCGTATTTCAGATTCAAACTTGAAATTTGGTAGTGATGCTTCTATTAAAACTGCATTTCCTGAATTTTGGTCAAGCCAAGTTTCAGCCATGAACATAAGATCAAGATTATGAGAACAAATAAAATTATTGATTAAAAAAGACTTGTTACAAAGAGATCTGACATTAAGCGTAGCAAGTTTCAAAGTTTCAGTATCAGCGGTTGTGGTCGGCTGATTCTTACACGGAACAAGAATTAGATTTTCCAGATTAGACTGATTAACTCCAGATGTTTTTCTGTAATGTATTCTTTGTGTTATCACTAAGGGGATGGCACAGGTGGCTTCATGACAGGGCCCCAGCCGGGTCTCTCCTCTAACTAGACTGCCAGTGGCTGCGAAGCAGAGACCCTGTGCATCCTAGTGTTTAGACAAAAGAGGGGAAGGGGAAGGCGGGGGAGGGGGATGGAGAGGTGGGTGGCTTTTGGGTGTTGAACGAGGGGGGCAGGGAGGTGGAGGGGTTTTTGGTGATGGGTTAGGGCCGGGGTGGGCTGAGGCAGAGGTTTTGGGTGTTGAACGAGGGGGAAGTGGGGGTGGAATGGTCATGAGGTTAGGGGAGGGACTGGCTGAGGTGGTTTTTGTAGGTGAATTGGAAACCCTAGGTGGTTTTGGAGGTACATATGGGGAGTGGTTTAGCATGTTGGACAGGACTCTAGATCTAGCTAATATGGGTGTGAGAGGAATAGTCTTCATCGCCGATTTTATTAGCCCTGCAGAGTGTTCAGGTAGGTCTAACAGTGAAGGTGGGGATGAAAAACAAAGGGACGTGTCCCCATTCTCTCTTGATGGAGTGGACGTGGCAGGGGGGACCCAAGACAGGTCCATGGGAGGTGGCGAGGGAGTCTTTGATGGAGGGGCAGGTGGTTGAGGATACCCCAGCACAGGCCTGTCTGCTGTAGGCTGGGGTGAGGATGGGGGCTTCAGAGGCGCTGTAGATGAAGAAGGCGTTGCTGCTTTGGAGCAGGCTGGGGATGAGGATGTTGGTGGTGGTGGTCGTGCTGCTGGTGCTGCTACTGGTGATGATACAGCTGCTTCTGGTGATGATGCAGCTGCTGCTGGTGATGATGCAGCTGCTGCTGGTGATGATGCAGCTGCTTCTGATGACAGTGGAGGTGTTGAGATCCTTCGAGGTGGTGGTGGTGTTGAGATCCTTCGAGGTGGTGGTGGTGTTGAGATCCTTTGAGGTGGTGGAGGTGTTGAGATCCTTCGAGGTGTTGGAGGTGTTGAGATCCTTCGAGGTGGTGGAGGTGCAGAGACTTTTAGAGTCGGCTTCCTCCCTTTCGATGGCTGCACGCGCTGCGCAGGCTGAGGTCTCAGGGCAAAAGAAAGGTTATCCATCAACACTTTTACTCCGTAAGTGTTCAGATGTGGCCCTTTCCCTTCAAAAAGCTCATGCCTATTCCAGAACAGATTAAAATTCTCAATGAAGGCAAGTCCTCTGCGTGAACATTCGTTGAGTAGGAAAGTATTTAGCTGATACAGACGACTGAATTTCATTTGCTTCCCGTCCACATTTGGTAGTGGGCCACTGATAACGATTGTTGTGTCCATTTTAGCAAGGTCGTCCAATAAGAGAGAGTAATCCCGTTTCAACTTTTCACTTGTGTTGTCATAGACGTCTACTGCCCCCACGTGGATCAACAATCTTTTTACCCCGCCGGTCTCAGACAAAAGCCTCGGAGCCAACCGCCTTATCTCATCCACTTTGGCAGAGTGTACTGAGTGAACCTTGAGATTACGCATGTTTACATTCCTAATCGCCGAATCCCCGATAAAGAGCGACTCAGCTGCATTTGACCTTGACTGAGACTGAGACTGGGACTGAGAGACTACTGCTGATTCATCTTCCAAAAGTGGTGAAAAGCAGTTTCTTGTAATTAAAGATTTTTGCTGTGGCATTATGACACTCTTGTTATCATTAGCTTTGCCTTGTTTGGGCTTGGCACCATATGTGTTCCAACAATTGTCTCTGTTGATTTTGGGAAATGAAATAGCGTCATCATAACTTACATTCTGTCCATTTGGTCCATTTCCTTTCACTGGTATTGTTGTGTTCAG